TCATAAATACGTCAGCGTAGCGTACATGACGATTACGCTACGCTTGAGTTTCTGTCCACTTGAACGTATTGGAAGCGTATAGAAAGCGTACAGAAAGCTTCATTCTACTAATTCGCAAAAATGTCGGGCGACGAAGAGGACGTTTTCGCCTTATGTAATTATATTCATCGGCGTAAAAGTCGGAAAAGATATTGGTTACACCCTTAAATAGAAAAGAACATAAATGATCAAATGTATTTCATTCTTTCTGTAGGATGAATAAAAATACGTGTAATAATTTAGTATGTTTGGTAGGTCTGCTAATCGAAAAACAAGACACTGAAATGCGATGTTGTGTTAGCCGTGTACAAACATGGACATTTTTTCTATTTTTTTTCTATTTTATGGCTAACTTTTCAACAATCTGTACGAAGTTTGCGGCCGACATATTTCACATTCAAACACAAATGAAAATTTTGCGTTCTTCTATACGCCCAGCGACGAAAATGCGATGCTGCAGCATATCTGGACACACGTCCATTGTTTTACATTAGTCGCTACATGGAAGCGCCCTGCAAGCGTCAAATGTCTATGAAGCGTCTATGACGAGAAGCCTTAGTGGACAGTAGGCTTAATCGTCATGTTGTACGCTACGCTGGCGTGTCTATAATGAGACGCCTTAGTGGACAATAGGCATAATCGTTATGTTCTACACTACGCTGGCGTGTCTACGACGAGACGCTTTGGTGGACAGTAGGCCTAAAGGACAAGGGTATAATAGCAGTAGCGAGCGTGATTCGGTCACAGGCGAGCCGCTGGGATTCGCACGTCAGATCGAGGCGCGATCTTCATTCCGCGAAGCTTACTGCAAGCGGACAGGCGAAACAAAAGAGCGAGCAGAAGAAAAGGGAGAAAAGAGGCAAAAGGATTGAGCTGTTCATAAGCCCTCGCCGCTGCCGCCGCCGCCGCCGACGCCGCCGCGGCGTCTATTTCTGGACTTAACGAGGGACGTGTCGAGAAGGACGCTCTGAAACAGGACGATGTGCCGATGTGCCTCGTAATTGTGTCAAGCCCCACGTGGCACCCTTCTATTGCGCATCAACATATGAGCCTAATTTTTATCCGAACTAGAACGCATTCAGATTCTCCCTTATTTAACATTCCATCTTTCGATCGTCGTTTTTCTTCGACACGGTTTTTGTAATGGATCGATTCGATCGATAAATCTGTGGTTGCAAGAAAAAACACGGCGTGTCACAATTTCAGAAAAATTTGAGTATATGCATTAATTGAACTGTAGAATAGAATAAAATAGGGTTGATATCCCAATTGCTGTCACCTTAAGATGCAGTGTAACTTCATTTAATCATTTTATGTCTTGTTTAACCTAAAAATCGTCTCAGTTTGGAACATAATATTATTTAACATCTCTTTCATTAGAAAAAATAGTTTTATACATTAAATATGAAGAAGTAATTGATAATTAAGTGAAATTTGCGAGGAATCCTAGTGTCCCTATAACTGTTACCTTAATAATTAAAGTAATTCTTATATACTTTGACAATTCATTTTATACAATAGGTATAGGTTGAATAGTAAAATTATGGCTCCTTCTTTAGTATGATTTCGCTATCATCTCCTAGTTACATAGTCGCGTTCTTCACGTTCAAATTGCACTTTCATATTCCACCATCAATTTTTAAATACCAGGTACGTATGTACAAGTACACGTTTTTCTTTGGTTTTATGTAAATGAGAGTCCTAATTTAATAATAAAATTTTACGTTACGTTTTTATTAAGTAAAATAAATAAAGTGACAGTATTATGGGCACTGGCAGAAATTGGGAAATTTACCCTGGGACGTATGTATTTATTAGAAAAGTTTCATGAAAACAAATTTTATATATTCAAAAAAATAATGCAATTTAACTGAAGACCACTGTTCAATTCTTACGCATTCAGCGAAACAACGTAAGACCACAAAATTTAGGAAACAGGACGATTACTCGTATCTTTCTTTTATGATCGCTTCTTATTTTGATTTTCTATTGATCTGCTTGTACTGTCACTTCTTTTGTATAAAATGAAGCGAACAAAATAATTTTCCACATTTATATTCAACCAACAATGACAGAAGGAAATATACATTTGTATCGCAAAAAGAAAACAAGAAAACATTGCTAATAAGAATTGCTGTTCAGAAATTTAAACGACAATTATCTCGAAACTGAAAGTATGTGACATGCGACGTTTTTCCTGACAACCACAGAAATACGAATTTTAGTAAATTTCGTTACGAAATTATGTGCTATGAATATCTGGTTCAAGTTTTTAGACATCCATTTCTGATTGCAGGAACTAAAAATGAATCGATTCACTAAGTTTCGAGGTTTATTATAAGGGAAAAAAAAATTCATACATATTTTAAGAAATATTATTCTTTATTTTATTACGTTTTCTGTATTCAAATTCAATTTATAAATCTGTTAATTCCGGAGTCCGGTTATAAATTATTTTTATCAAATTCTGGAAATATTATGAAACCAAACATGTTTATGTTTATTAACATAGGGGAACGGAAGTTTGTAATATTTATAAAGAATATTTGTGTCGTATGCACTGTCACAGAAAAGTTCGGAACACCTGTAGATCTTTCACGTACTGTTTTTCTTTAAATTTATATTGTAGAAAGAATTTTGTATGTAAAGTATTGAATAAAGTAAATGCTGATACACAAATGGATTCATTCGTTAAATGACCAATGAGTATTCTAGATTTTTTAACAAGAATGTCCATGTGCTATACTAAAAGTTTAGAAATTATTGTTTAGTCATAATGTGTATATTCAAACATTAATAAACTTCTGTACTTTATCGTACAGAAAAGTTACAGGTGGGTATTTGTTCGTTTATATTTAATACCTAATATACCATAATTGTATTAATTATCATATTGTAATACTTTGTAGGTAAAAACATAGGCAAAATTATTTATAAAACGTTCACATTTAAAATCGATTTTCATATGAAAGTATTTTATCTCTGTCTGTTTACATGCAAATTTGTTTCTGAATGTAAATTATTTTAAATCAATATAAAAGTAAGATAGTAAGTTACTTATTCATAATAAACACAGCTCAAACGAAGGAAGTTTTGATCTTATCTTCTTATATTTTTTCACCAAAGTCAAAATTAATTAGATACCCGAAGAGGAAAATATGACATCAGCAGAGATTTTAGAGACAGATGACAGTTTCCTCAACACGAAGTTACGTAAAGATCTAAACTAAGAACAGAAACAATTTCCGTAATATTTTCCTTGTAATCTCCACGGAAACAAACTTTCAACGAGTCATCTGTTTTGAAAGAATTATGTCCACTGTAAAATTTCTAATTGTTACATGACGGAACAATCAATAAACCTTTATCACAGTGACACTGCTTCAATGCATCACTGTATCAAGTATTAAAATTTGAATTTAGTTGCACAATATTACTCTAGTAAAGAAATACGCAAATATTACTGCTTTCCAATGCAATTTTCCAATATAAAAAATTAAAACACAAGTGTATAAATTTCTGTTTTATAATTGGCCATGGAAAACTCACTCGATTTCATTTGACAGCAAACGCTAATACTTCACTTCCTGACGAACCTCTACTACACAGCAATAAAACTACACGAGTTAATACTAACTGCAAACAGATCACAAAGTCACTATCAGCAACGACGCAGAAATATCCAATTGAAATACCACTGATTCAGAAAAACGTAACTATTCAACATGTTAATGTAGAATCCCTCACACGTCACTGTTAAGCCCACACGAGAACTGCTACCTACGATGCTCGAAGGATCAACACAAAAAAAACAAAGACACCCAATTCACCGCTCGATTCCGTCATCTCAATCTCATACGTAACGTTCACTTCTCTCGCGATCACGTGTCTGCCCCAGTGGACAAATTCCAATCCAATAATGTTAGCATAAAAATTAGCTCACGTCAATCCCACATTCACGATCATCCTGCCAGCCGAAGCAGATCGTTGATTAAAGTGTCGGTTAAAGTGCGTTAATTGATCTCTCGTTTAATGAGATATTGCCCCTCTTTTCCCTCACCCTCTTTGGATTTCTGATTTCCCTATCGTCGACGAGATCCAATTTGCCCAGAGAGTAAGTCGCGTTCCCCTGTCTATAATCTATTCGCGATGAAAGTCGTTTCCCTTTCGATTAACGTTCCCCCGTTCCCCGTCCGTTTGAGGAACACGACGCGGCTGCGGCCGCGACTCGCGTGTTCAGAAACACTCTCTGTGTGCCCTGTCATGATCACGATAATTATGGTGATTTCATTGTGAACGTGATTTGTCAATCAACCTCGGGGACGACATACACGGGAACGATTCACCGGACGCGAACAAGTGTCCATTCTTTGAGGGACGAAAATCTTAGCTCCACCATGGAGGCGATTTTCTACCTCGTTAGCGAAACGTTTCGCACGTTTTACACATAATCGATTATCACAACTTTCAACTCTTCCGGTAGCTTGTAACCCAAATTTCCAAGGCTGCGAAATGCAAACACAGGATACATATATGTACCGATAATATTAAACTTTTATGTAACACCAAGTTATTAACGTTTCGTTGCACTGCACTTCAGTCGCGAAACAGCTGTTTTCGCAGCCTTGAGCAACGTATTACTGCGCCGTAACGAGCATGTATTCGATTTCCAATTTTCCTCCCTCAAAGATAACCGCCTGTTAATCGCCTCCGTACGTGTCATTTTACATCACACGACGTCGTGATATCATTTGTTTTGTTTAGTTGTATATATACACGGGGAACAGAAGGGTACACGATTTAACGTCACCGACGAGTCAATCCATGGAGGGATAGATAGACTCTCCGCCGGGGCGATCCGTCACCGAGAATGTCACGCATTAGTCCCGCGCGCACTCCTAACGTACTACTACCCCGGTGCGTAAGTGCATCTCCGCTCGAACATCACAAATTCAATTTACCTTCACTGGCACAGTAGCATTCCGATCGGTAGTGCCTCTCTGTTGTACTCTTTTAAGGATATCCCCCTTCTCGCACGAGGAGCGGTTCGCTCTGCCGCGAAGATACCAGCAAGAAGAGAAGAGGAACGCGAAGGAGGAGGAGGAGAAGAAGAACCCGGGATCTCGTGGTTATATACCCGAACAAAACACTCTCACGTACAGCAACTGTCACTGCCACCAAGAAGACAGCCTGGTGTCTTGTCCCGTGGGACCGACGAGACTAACACCTTGCGCCTGTTCCTGAACCGATGCGACCTCGTCAGAATGATTATCATCGATCATCTGACGTGGGCCCAAAGGAAGCGTTTCCCTAATACGTTGCTCTTGTTATTTCTCACTGTATATATCGCTGGACACCCGTTACCATACACTAGATAAGCAAACCGAAACGCATTCGGAACCGTCTGAACACAGCCAAACTCCCGTAAAGGTCACTCCCGTAACTGGCACACGCGTTGTTCGTGTTTAGAACGGAACCGTTCACGGTCGATCAAACGATTTTTTTCGTTAACCCAGAAACTACATGTATATGTATATCCTTGACAAATGACTGTCTTTCCCGGTGTGTCACTGTGACAACAACTCGTTCGCACCCGACTACGATCGTTAGGTAATCCCGAACCCTGGACACGATCAACGGGGGCTACCACTCCGGCACGCACCGTTCTCCGCCGAGCGCCGAAGAACTAATAAAAGCTGGGTCCCAGCTTGATACTGCGTAGGCCGCTTACTACTCCTTCCACCGCGGCACCGTCCTATCCCACCGACGTACCGGACCGGGCCCCGACAGAGAGACAGGCAAGGGAGAATGCACGAACCAGAGGACGGACGAACGTAGCGACTGGCAGCGGACGGACCGACGGACGGACGGACGGACGGTCAAACAGATGAAGCAACGGGCATAAGGACTTTAACAGGTATACACACACGCCGCTTAGGCCTCTGATGCACGCTTGGTAGGATGCAGCAGCCGACTGGGAGCCCCCGATGCCGCTCTGTTATACTCTGCTCGTTGCTCCTGCTGCACACGGTTGTGTTGTTGTTGTTGTTGTTGTTGTTGTTGTTGTTGTTGTTGTTGCTGCTGCTGCTGCTGGCTCCTGATCTGCCTACTGTCTGGGTGAACGTCACTTGGTCAAGGTCCCCCACCAAAAACCTGTGCACACACGACACAATGCAAGACCGCCGGCTGGCTCTCTTCGAGAAGATGCAGACGTCCGCGTATACGAGATACCCGGTCTCTAGTCTTCGTTTTTGTCCTTTGTTTTCTTTGTCGTTAACTCGCGGTCCCACCAGCAGACCACCGCTATACTTGGCGCGAACCGGACTCACGAAGTGCGGGGGTGGCGAGCGATCGTGCGTTGCGAGCTCGTTTCACGTTCGGCACGGGATAGAGAGGAAGTGGCGGGAGGAGAAGGATGGCTACCTGAGTGATGCGTTCGTCGCGAAGGTTTTATGGATTGCGTCGGTTCACGCGCGAGGGGGATTGAGACATCGAACGGTAGGCGACGATTTCAGGAAAATGGGTGAGGCTTCGTACCGCAGTAGTAGAGGAGGATGTGGTCTGATGTATATGGGCCGCGAGTGGGTTTCGACGGCTCTAGAAAGTCGCGCGCGGTGGGATATTGAAATTGGATTCAAGATTTCGTTAAATGTGGGATTCATCTCAAGGACGTGCTCGAGGTGTAATAAGGTCGACTGTTTGTGCTGGTGAATAGAAGGTTACAGTTTTCGTAGAACAATTTATCACTGACAATATTAGGTTCAGTCATAAATAACTTTCGCTTTGCTTTTTTAAATTTATGTCCGTTCGAGGCATTTGAACAATTACTGTAATTCCTCGATGAATGCGACACGAGCAACGGCGTTATGCCCACCACTGGGGCGGGGGCACTCTGGATCAATCAAAGCAGAGTAAACAGAAGCTACGCAGAGATTCGGTTTCGGGTAAAATATTAATTTATGAGAGGTTGAAAAACTTGTACGTCGCTCTCATCGAAACATTACTGTAATATCAATATCAATCTATGCGACGTTCCTCATCACCTGTAGGCTTAATTATCGATGTTCAGTTTAACTGAATCCTATGACCATTACAATTTAATTGCTATTTAGTAATTGTTTTGGTGCCCATGACAGAAGTTTTTGTGACTTGATCTAATAGAACTGACAACAGATCCGATATTGGCAATTAAAGTCTGATTCTGAGGATTGAAATGGAAAAAAAGACAAATAATGACTCCATTATAATGAAAAGGTGTCAGAAATACACAGGAATATTTAATGTAAAAACCTAAGCACTATCGCTTATTTTCCTGTCAATAATACTTATAATAAGTAGAATGCAGATTTTATGCATTTATAACTAGACTACGGATTGATTTCCTGTACAAAACGAGCCATCACAATATCAATAGTAATACACAAATAGCTGTAAGCTTTATTAAAATCTTTATTTTATCATGTTTTGCAAATTGGAAGATGCAGTAAATGCATAAACAGTTGTCAGAAATTCAATATACTAAAAAATTTAATAAACATTAATCGCCAAATTTCAGTCTGTTTTCAGTTTCTGTAAATAAATCCTTAAGGACTGGTATTTATTGCATAAACATCCGCAGGCCATTTATCGGCACAAGAATACACAAAAAATTTCTTTCGTCAAATCAAAAGTTTAATAGTTGAAAAACTATTGTAGACAAACTTTATCGATTCTAGTTAGACTTTTTACTTCTTTCTGTTTTTTTTATTTGTGTATCATATAAATACACACAGTCTGCCGCATAAAAAATTCAATGAAAAATTTAAATAAAGGGTAAAAATTTTAATAAGATAAAAAGTTTTTAAACTTTTAAGTTTTAAAAAATTAAAATAAGGTTAAGCTGAATTTATTTTTGAGTTAATGAAATCCTTGAGAGAAGAACAAAATTCTGCTTGTTATTTCCCTATGCAAATTATTATGCAACGTGTGATTTTGTGGAAAGATGTATACATCAGTATTCATTTATTTACTCATCCGAAACACGTAGAAATATTACTTAAATCTTAGGTTTTTATAATTTGCTAAATGTATTATTAACATGAAATGGAGACTGATTTACGATAAAAATGGCATCATTTGTAGGAAGATATATTTTTTGTACATATCCACGCAAAGAATGCTTCGTTTCTTTTAATGAGTTTTGGTCGCCCGTACAGTTTAAGCTTATGATTTTGAAACATTCTATACTTCATTATGACTGCACCGACGGATCCACGGAGAGAAATTCACCGAACGATCAGAGACCAAAAATATTATTTCTCTAGATAAAAACTACCTTAAAAACGACAAACAAAGTAATGGATACGATCATACTAATTTCCTTAATTCACCACGCTCATTTTCTATAACGTACAACTCGAAAATTTCAGTGCAGGAATTTATCATGTCTATATGCTCGATAACGCCAGAACAGAATCTTAATTGAATCCAACAGTGTCCAAATCTATCGTACATCGTAAATGTTAGAAATTCACATAATACACGATTGCAGCATTATTCGAACAATTACCAATATTTCAATTCAAAGTATCCCAGTCCCCATACAACGATGAACCAGACCCTACAAAGCAATTACTCGAAGCAGGTCTAAGTGAAAAGTGATTAAATCGGTGTCCACCCTGATCCACCTAACGCAACAAGACAACCTAACTCCCTGTCTCGCTACCACAGTACAGAGCCAGTCTGACATTTCAATGGCCGCCTGAGATATCCATTCGATCATTTAATAACGTTATCAAGCGGCAATTATAAATTGCGAAGAGGTCTTGCGAAAGGGCCCAAGCTCTATTCTGTGGCCGGTATTCTCTGGTACGTGCATGTCGTTTTAATAAATACGGCTGTAAACACGAAACTAAGCAGCAAGGAAGGGAGGGTAAGCGTGGCAACGGACACGCAGGAGCGAGGCTGCGAAGAGATAATTGTGCATCGCTAAGTATCAAGGGTGTAGCGGCGGGATAGACAGAGTATAATTACAGGTGATTGAGAGGATCGGTCTTCTTTCTATTTTCTTTGATTTCTTCGAGTAGTTAGCCGGATCTGCAACGGACCAATCGAGACGCGCCGGGACTCTCAGGAAGGCAAGCCGTATTATGATTGGCGTAATCATCGCATGGGCGAATCAACGAAGGCCATCGGTATATATATACATATAAATAATTGAGCTTTAAAGCCGTTCCTGCGGCGCCGTGGCTCTTCTTTAGCTGATGAAGGGTGGACGAGTGCTCCACATTGGACACGTAATAGACGAGAGTTATTGCGTAGCGTGATGATGGGTGAGCCGCCTGGATGATTATGAGGCAGCTCGATGTCGTCTGTACGAGGCAGCGAAAAATGTAATATTATACGGAAAACTGAGCAATGAGGAATCCTTTGATACCTTAAGTTGGGGTAACTTTGAGTCAGATAGGGGTAATTTTATCCCATAGTCAGGAAATGATCGTTTTCGATTTTGCAGGTATTTTTCTTTCTGTGAAATGCTTAATTTAACAATTTGCAGATTTGCAAAACCAAAAATGATTACTTTTTGAGTTCGGACATAGTTACCCTGACTGACAATGAGTCAACTTTACCCCAACTTATGGTACTGGCACAATCAGTGATTTCTTAATAGCGAAATGAGAACGCGTGCTTTGTGTCATTGACTGTCGTTCGTTTTAGAAGACGATGTTGTAGGAAGAGTATCATACGCCGGATATTGCTTTCGAAAAGAAAACAATATGGTACTATGGTTGTGATAACAAGTAGCTGACAGTTCGTCTTGAATAGGTTAATTGTAGAATAGCAGTTTTTTAGTATGCACAAAATGCTCGGTAAATAGTAATATAATGAATAAAATGTTTCTATAATGGAAAATAAGAATGGAAAGTAGAGTAGAATTTTTCGTGTACAAATTGTCTTTTTGGAGAATCGAATTCGAAAATCTGCTGGACACGCGTACAATTGAATAGGACTTGGCTAACGCAACTATTTATTGTTGGCATGATTATACATAAATGTTAGATGAATTTTCTAATGTGGTTATTTCGAGAGTTTCGGTTTACTTTTAGAAAATGGAAGTTATTTTAGGCTGGGCCTAGAAGATAAAACATGATGTACCGAAAAATAAAACAGAAACTATATATGTATATGTAATTTCATTGCAAAAAGTAGAAGACTTTAACGCCTGTGTCTTTTCGATGAATCGATATCGTATTCTAGATTGTGAAACATCTGTTCTGCAAACAAATATCTTCAAAAATCATATGATAGAATACATAGAAGGTTTAACACTAAGGTTTTAACGTCTTGAGTAGATCGTCGACGACCCAAGAGAATTGCCATTGTTCCCGGACATTCCTCCGAATTCTTATTTTCGTCGAAAAAACT